TTACTCTTATTTACAATGAGAGAGTTGGATTTTTTTTAATTAATAGGGTTGAATTTAAAGGAGTCTTGCAAAGATTTTTATCGGATTTGAATTGGCTGAAGTTTTTGTTAGACTCAAATTTGTTGGGGCTTTATTAGACTCGAAAACAATTCTCATGGACTTTATAAAGCTCTTATGTAGATCATTATACAATATTATAGGTTAGAGAACGAGATAAATTCTTACTTGTTAAAAATATAGGTCCTGGTTTCTAATTTCCACACTAATGATTTGAGTCTACTATTTTTGTCTCTACATCTTCCAGTAACTTAACTCACTCCATTACTAGAATTCATCAGCATAAATTATTTGTTTATTTTTTATATTGTTTGAATACTAATGGTCTTTCCCTTGACCTATGATTCTTCACATTTGCTATTTTGAGAGACTTTGCATTCTCTAACACTTATTTGAAAAATATTCATTTTGTCACCAATTTGGTGTCTTACCATACTATTTTTGACCTTATATATGGTTTTCTAAGAAATCATTACATGCTTTTAGAATGTGATTTTGCTTCTATTTTCTATTATCAGAAACTTTATATCTTTACTACTACTATGAGAGTGACAAATTACAAACTTTAACTCCTTCTATTACCTAAAGAATGATGAATTGAGATTTTGCCTTAGTTTTGTGATTTTATTTGAGAACTTTTAAACACACTGACTTATTTATCATGTGTTATTTATGCATTCTTATAATAGAACCTGTTTCATATCACAAGGCTTGTTTTCCTGATTGTTAGGGTCTAACGAATACTTGTTTGCTACTGCTTGCTTTTTGATCAATGGATGGGTACTATTCATTCATCGAGCTAGCTCGGTCAATATTGCTCCGCTTGTTATTTCCCACAAGTGTTTTCTAAAAATGTTAATTTGGTTCTCCTTATTTCTTATTATGAATAAATTGCTACCCCTACCATTTCTTATTTCATAGGAATTTCTTCATATCTTTTCTTTTATGTGATAGTCATTTCTTTTATGTGATAGTCATGATCAAGATTACCTCTAGTTAATCTAGTTATGCATATAACTATCATAGTTTGCTACAACTAATTTGACTATTTATTTTCTTGGTAACTAGTATTGTTGTCATCACATATCACTTTAAACAAAGTTACCATAAGTCATTTGCTATAACTAATTTTTTTGTTTATAATCTAGGATGCTCATATGCATTACACAAAAATATTAATAATACCAATTGATCTAGCAATTTCTCAATGTTATCCCTAATCGTGGAGGCACACACCTATAATCATCATTCAAATTCTTTAAAACACATATATCACTATCATAATCACAAAATTGCCCTAGGTTTGTTTGATTAGTTTTCTCAGTAACATCATCTTTGGCAAGAACTTTGCAAATTTAATTAATGTCTATTTTTTATTTATAAATCGTTTTTTTCTTAAGATCATACTATAAATTTTAAGGTCTATCTTTATTCAAGTATAATTGTTGAAATGAAATTAAGATGTAAATTTGAAAGTATTTGTGTAAATATAAAAAAAATTTATTCATGAATTTAAAACACATCATTTACTACTAAAATATGCTTTTAGATGTTTTTATTTACATATGAAACAATTGTCAGTTGGGATTGTCAAAAAAAAAATATTGTTATCTCAAAATTTGATTATGAATTTCCTTATAAAGGAATAACTATTTTAAAAATAAAAATTTGAATTCCAAAAGTAGTTTTTTTTCCCCTTTCATAAAGAGATAGAGTCTACTTTATGTTATGTTTAGCTTGTCCATTTATTTTGTAAAATTGCATAATTAAAAAATGATATATAGTGTACAAACAAGTCATGATTTTTCTTCTCATAGAGACTAGTAGCTTTCAACGCAAACAAAATATATATATATATATCATAAATGACTTTTATAGGCATGAAATATAGGCTATAGCTGATGGCTATAAAAAAATGAATATATATTAGGTTTAAATGGTGTTTAAAGGGTTAAAAAAATATAGGATCACTTATTTTATACAAAAATCTTTTAGGTTTGTTAGCTAAATTTTTATATTTAGGTGATTGTTCTCATTATAATCTTAATTCTCCAAGTTTCTCTTGCTTTATTCCTTGACATTTGGTTTTTAATCTTAGACATTTTGGAAAGCTTTCCATATTTCTTACTTTTTTTTTTTGTTGCTTTCTTTTGCACTACTTAATAAACAAGACTTGTCGAAAAGGTCATTTGCCAAAAATTTAACATCGATCCCTTGAAAAAAGAGGCTTGTTAGAAAGGTCATTCTCAAAAAATTCAATATCAAACTCTTAAACATTATTCATGAAAAATTTAATATCAATCTCTTAAACAAAAAGACTTGTTAAAAATGTCATTTTCAAAAACAGGCTTTAGACTTATATAAATGATAAAAACTGATCTTTGATCATACATTTTTTACCGTACCCAAAAAATATCTAAAATTTGTTATTCATATTCGTTGGGTCTATTTTGGATCAAATTGACCCCAATTAAATTATTGTATTACATCCAAAAATAAATTCAAACCCATAGAAATAAATTATTTTCTTCTTTTTTTTTTTAGACTAGTCACTAGAAAACTAGCTAAATTGTTCATCAAGTATCAATAAAACAAACATCAAACAATAGTGATATGATAAATAACTCTTTAAGCTTGAGGTTTCTCACATTTGAGGGGCTTGATAACCTTCTAAGTGAAGTTTGGGTCATTCCATCTAAAATATTTGTATGTTGCTATTTTCAAGAACATATTACCACTCTTATTAAGTTTCAGGTTGATGGTCATCATCCCAAGCCTAAAGTCAAAGTTGTTATTCACAATCTTAAGGATCTCTTTGTTAGGAAATTTTTCAATTTAGTTCTTGATTTTCAAAATTATGTATTTTTTGTCACTTTTCCTCTAATTTTTTTTTCTTCTTCAATTTCATCCCTAATTGAACCTCTAAATTTGGTTGCTTGTTATGAATTTTAATTCTTTTAATTAAAACCAAACCATACCTTTTTTTCTTAATTTTCTTTTCAATCATGTCCTTAATTACATCCTAAATTATTCATGATTTTTTTAACCTTTTTTCAACTCAATTCTCAACTTGTTAGATTCAATTATTAGTCCCATTTTATCCCTATTAATATTTTATTCTTTTTTTTTCTATTGATTTTATTCTTTTTTTATTTTATGTTCTTTTTCATTATTATTTCTCTCTTAACTTGACAGACAATAATAATAAAATAATAATAATAATAATAATAATAACACAATTAAAATTGACTAAATTTATTGAAAATATATATCTTTTGGAAATTTTTAGTTTGATTGCAATCTATATAAAAACCTTGTGGATAAGAATTTAGGTTATGACACTATACTTGATTTTCAAATATAAATCAATCAATTTATTAAATTGATAATAAGTTAAATTATTTAATCCATTTAATCCTGTCATGAATAAGATTATGTTTTATGTTTGAACCAATATATTATGAATCTAACATGTCATACATATTAAGATTATTGATAAAAACTTAACTAGGATAATTAATCAAGTGGGACTTGATTGCAGATAAATTAGAAATTGAGGACTATAGTGTAATTTATATATGGAATTATAATTTTAGATCTAAAAAAATTGAGTGAGAATTTGATTGCATAAATCTCTAATGGTTGTCTTTAAATAAAATATATGATATTTTTTCATGAGACAAAGTGATATTTTATCATTGATAAGGTTATTAAGTTTTATATATAAACAAAATGTTATGTCTCATACTTTTCTTTATACCTAAACGTAAGTATATAGGTAGAGAAATTAATAAAAGAGTTAGCACTCTAGGTATAACAATTCTTAGCACTTTAGGCAAAATAATTTCTCTCTCTTAAATGGTTTAAGAGATTTCTAATTTGACGATTCATTTGGATTATGATTAGATGTTAAAGAATTATATCAACTCAAAAGCTTAAATTGTTAAATAGGGGTCTAATATATGATTTATATTATTTTCTAATACATCTCCTCAAGTGAAAGCCTAAGTTTAAAACTTGCATGAGTCTACACTACCTTGCACTATTAATTAATTTTAAATTTATGATCGTTTAGTCATAATGGCTCTATTATCACATTAAAGATCCATCTTAACCCAATCTTAAAATGTTATGTAAGGTCTGAAGATATAATTTATATTATTTTCTAATATTCAAAGCCAGATAATTGGATAGCTTGTAATTTATGACAAACTAAACTTGAAAAGTTGATTAAACCCTAGAAAGAAAAAATGATTTTCAGGTAATTTTCACTTAAGTCCTAAACAATTATACTATGTCTAATAGGATCCATGACACTTCTAAAAATTCTTAAAATTATTATTTTCATTGTGTTTATTTGTTTTTAAAAACCCAACATTAATATGGATCTCACAACATAATACAAAATATCAATGAAAATAGCTATACTATCAATATACTAGAAACTATAAGTATTTTTAAAACCTTCATTGTTTTTGAAATTTATCCTTATCATGATGATAAACCAACATATTTATATATAGGTATTAACTAGAAGACATGTCTTTCAATAAGTAGATAAGACTAGCATGGAACATTTAGATGATTCGTTTTTGGACTTGTTGGACATGGTAAAATTTAAGAAAAAATTTGATCATCTCAAAACAGTTTCATAATAAAATTAACCATGATCAACCTTAGATTAATCAAAATTGGCCATGATCGACCAATTCATCATAATTGACTAAAATCAATCATGCCCAAAAGATATAGATGATGTAAAAGATGTTATTTAGAATTTTCTTTCCAAATAGAGTTAAAAGTTTTATTTGATTTAGTCTTTTTTAAAAGGTAAATATAAGCTTATAAGTTTTTATTTAAACAACCTAAGATTATTATTATTATTATTAACATTATAACTTGAAAAAACTCTAGTTATGACTTACTCTATACACGGTGTCAATACCGCACCAACAGTCACCCTTTCATTATTAGTTATTACAAAGTAAAGGAAAAAAAAAAAAAAACAGCGACCTCATAAGGTTGCTTTAATTTAAGATTACGAATATCACACACCACAATAAGCCTTTAAAGCACACTGATTAGGCTGAGCCTTAGGTGCCCAGGCCGAAAAAAACTTAAGGAATTCAAAATAATCAAATGGCTTGTAAAGCAAGGGATGATCTTCATCGATCAAGTCTTCAGGGGTTTTCATTTTATAACCTGCTTTGAAAAGCGAAAACAATCCAGCAGAGTACCTTGCCTCACTTCCAGTCATCCTTACGCGGTGATACGGCGGGTGCAATCGACCATTCGTCCATGCCTGCAGAAATCAATTCCAATAACAAATTGAAGTGCTTATGTTTTCTGAAATCAATTCCAATAACAAATTGAAGTGTTTACGTTCGTATTTTTTGAATTTACTTAAACTAGAATTTAAACTTCAAATCTTGAGCAAATATATTATCAAATAAACTCATGGAATGTAGAAAGAACAGTGACTTACTCTAAAGGATTCCCCAATCATGATGACAAAAGAGTGATCTTGTGAGAGTTCCACACCAATCCACTCACCATTTTTGGTTTGTACCTCCAGCCCATCAACTAGATTTTGATACAATATAGTAATTAAGTTCTTATCTGTGTGGGCCTTTGAGGTATACGTTGGTTCAGTAATTTGAGGCACTTGATATTTCATTACTCTAAGAACACAAGTAGTCGAGCTCATGTGTTCATCCAAGTAATTTCCAAGACTCAAGCTCTCCAAAATCATCCTTCTTATGAGTTTCTCAAATTCTGATACTTTTGTTGAGAAATAGTCTATATTTTTTCTGCAGAAAACAGAAGGAAGATTTTGGATTAATTACAAGGGAAGTTGGGATATATAACAATACATTTTTCCAGTGATTTATGATCACTCAACCTAACCGATGTGCTGGTGGATCAAGTTCTGTTTCACCTTCGTTAGCCCATATGAAAATAATAGTTGATTGAATTGCATATTATTGCAGTTTGAGCTCCACAAGTTCAAAAAGAATGTTCTTACGTACCTAAAATCTGGGTTCCCATGTGGCCACAAGACATTGGTGAAGTTGTTGCAGTTTTCGAAGATGCTGGGATCCTCAATACCAAAGCTTTCAAACTGCAGCGGAGGTGGGAATTTCCCAAAATAGCTATGAAATGGTATTTCAGAAACATGTTGCCTTTTGGTCTGAAGGGGTAAGTCAAAGAGCTCTTTCACTTCACCAAGAAATGACTTCGCGACATTTAGAGGAATTTTGTCAAACAGAGCCTTGAAGCAACCATGCTCGGAAATTGCCTTCCAAACTTGAGATTTCACCAAGTCCCACTCTGAAGTTCCCGGCTTTAGATCTGACTTGCAGAAATCTATTATAGGAAGCTGAAAAAGAGTTTCCTGGCTCATATTTAGGATACTAGGTTTTTAATTTGTTGAAAAAATGAGGAACAGAAATCTCAATTCAGGTGTATTTCGATGTATATAATTTGGACTAGGTTTTCTCTGTCGTAATATGAAAATTTATTATACTATAAATTAAAAAACTTGGGGGTGGGAACCATGTTCATCTAACTGTCAGCCATCTAGGTTTTTTTTTTTTTCAATCATTGGGTTCTTCAAACATTTATATCACGTCATTTTTTTTTGTTTGTATCTTTTTTGTATTGGATCCTTCAAACTTACATTTTTTTTTTTATCATTTTTTCTATTGGGCCTTTTGCTTCCTATTTAACAACTATTTGCAAGATTGATCCTTACTAAACAAAAAAATGTTGTTTTAAATCATAAATATGCAAGGTAATGAGTTTTAATAAAAATATTTATAAAAAAAACAATAAAATTAGACATAGAAAAAAGACATGATTCATTATGGATTGTAACAATTACTATAATGTTTTCTTCTTTGTTTTTTGATCACTTAACTTTTTTTATTTTCAATTTAATCCTTTCATATTAAGTTGATTTGAGATTAAATGTGATTTTTTATTTCAATTAGCTTTATATGGGTTCTTATGATGTAAAAAACAGGTTTTGACATTGATTTAATCAATTGGATAAAATAAAATTTAATTTTATTGATTCAAACCAATTAAAATTTTAGAGAATCAATTTTGAATTGAAACAAATATCAAACATCTTTTTTCTAAGAGCTTGTATCTTCATCTTAGCTTCCTAACTCAATTTTTGGTTAAAATCAACAATTTTATTATTATTTATTAGTATACATAATTTTTATTTTATTTTATTGAAAACATGTATAAATTTTATAATTTATAATTAATTTTTTTTCTTGATGACCAAAAACCATTAACAATAGCCTGCACTTTTTTTGGCATTGAAAAAAAAAAGAAGCTTTATACTAGGAGTCAAGTAGTTTAGATGTAAATAATTTGGACTAGGTTTTCTTTTTCCTAATATGCAAACCTTTACTGTAATTTTATCCATATCATTTTCTAAATGAAAAATCACATCTGCATAAGGAAATTAATTGAAATTAATTTTATGAAAAAAGAAATTTTTTTAAATCAAAATTGATTTTAAAAAAAAATTTCTTAAATTAAATATTATGATGCTTAAAAGAGATGTGGATATTAGGAAAGGTTAAAAATATATGCTCTTAGATGTATTAGGGTCATGTTTGTTTCTTGGAATTCACTTTTTAAAAATTACTTTCTAAATTTTCCTATATTTGTTTGTCATTAAGAAAGTAGGTCAACGAAAAATACTTTCCAGTCAAAGAAAAATTTGGCTTGATTTTAAGGAAAGTATTTTTCTAAAAACTTTAGGCGGAAAACACTTTTTGAAAGTTGTAAAAAATTTAATATCATTTTATTTGCTGATTATATCAATTTTGGTCCAAAGTGTTTTCCAGTTTATTTTCTATAACCAAATATCAAAAAATAATTTACTTTACAGAAATTCACTTTCCTTAAAATTTACTTTAAAAAAAAATAATTTTTCTATAAACAAACAAAACCTAAAAAGCATGTCCTGATAACTTTGCAAAGCACTATGTTGGATTGTCTTCAAGCTTCAAAATAACTGCTTCTACCAAGCCAAGATATTTTACACCAACATTATGTATTCTAAGCAAGGCTATATTATTTCTTTATTCTATAACATTCATCAACAAAAATTCACTTAAAACTATAGAATAATTCTATTAATAATTTATAGTAATAATTACCAATAGATACTTTTTTATTTGTAATTCAGTTGGTATGTACCGACATAATACTTTTTAAAAATACATTTAATTTGTAATGAATATTATTTAACTTTATTTTTTTATTTTTGATGTTTAATAAAATTTATTTGTGTAATTAGTTTTTTTTTACTATTAATTTATATAATTTTATATTATTTATTCTAAATAATTTTTCTAAAAAAAATTCAAAATACTCACTTACGGATTTACAAATGTAATGTATCCGTCAGCATTTTATAAAAAGTTAAAAAATATTTATTAAATATACCATAATTACTAACGGTTTCACTGGTGAATAGCATCCATTGACATTTTACCAAGAGCTACGATATATTTATTGGAAATGTCATCATCATTGACAGAATATATTCATTAATATATTTTCAGTGGTAATTTTTTTTAGCACGTAATTTTTATATGTAAAACTATTGTTAATATTATTATTTTTACTGTCAGACTTAACAACAAAAAATGGCGTTACTGATGAAAGGTATGCTGATAAAAAATATCAGTCGAAAATTTAGTAGGTAAAAAAATTACTAAAATTTCATACTAATAAATTATATTTATCAGCAAAACTGTGAAATGGATGATTATTGAGGAAGATCTCAATTGAAGTATCCGCTTGCTAACTTCATTATCTTGATCCCAAATCAGTTCAACATGTAGAATGCCGAGGAATTTTGTTTAAGATATATATCATCCATAATGTTTCTAAACAGGGTAAACATTAAAGAAAATAATGCAAAATAAAAATTAATTTTTAATAAATTATAAGAACCAGCTTTACCCCGTGTGTGTGTCTATATATATATATATATATATATATATATATATATATATATAGAGAGAGAGAGAGAGAGAGAGAGAGAGAGGTCACATTGTATGATTTAGCTAGAATAGCCCAAGACGGAAGTGAAGCTATAAAAAGTTAGGCCTTATAGTTTATGTACGATGAAAACTAAGTTTACACTAAAGGGGATGCAATGGAACATAAGTGTCATTGCCAATTTTGGCCCTGCCACTGAAAAAAAAAATGATGTTTAAGATGAAAAATGATTTTTTTGGCCCAAAATGAGATCCCCAAGATCAAACTCGTTTTTTTTTTAATAAAAAAATCATCATATTTTGGTTCAATTGAGATTGTCGAGGTTAAACCTGTCATTTCTTGGTCAAAACTGACTTTCCATTGAAATTGGCCAAAACCATCAGGTAAAAATTGAATTTACCTTGTCTAATTTGGTAAAAAAAATTTGATTTACTGGGGTCAAATTCATAATTTGACAGTCAAAACATTTTTTTGGTGGCCAAAACATATTTCTGGAGCTATAATTGATTTTCGGCGGTCAAAATGGGTCATTTTAATATTGATTTTAATCTCAGTTGTGATTTGACCTCATGCTATATAAAAAACAGGAAAAATAAAAAATAAAAAAGGAAAGTGGGTTTGCGTTAGGAGGTGCATTGGCTATAAAAACTAGTTCACGTTTGTGTCAAAGGAGGGGAACGGTTCCAATGATAAAAAGAAAACTATAATTGGAGAAAACAAAAGGTCCCAAAAAAAATCCAAATAAAAAGGATAAAATTAATATATATATATATATATATATGATAAATTAAGATTAAATGATAAAATTAAAAATAAATAAGATTTTTTTAAAAAATCAATATTAAAAATTAGAAATTAAAAAAATAAAAAATGAAGTTGAAATATCAATAATAAAAAAGATTAAATTATAATTTTTTAGAGAGAAAAAAAAAAACCCACAAGTGACTACCACCGCTTATATATGCAACTATATCTGAAAAAGAACATGACGATACTTTCAACGATGCAATAAAAAATCATTTGTAGTCACTGAGAGATATTGCACGCTCTACTTAAAATTCATGGATGCCTCCCCAGCATCTGTGCTTGCTTTTCACCTGCCTATACCTTTATTCATTGAAATAATATTTAATTATATAAAAAGATTAAATTACCCCTTATAAAATTATTAATAAAAAAATATTATAATGAAAAGATTAAAATATCCTTGGATTCATGTTTTTTTTTTTTTTTCAAGGATAAAATTGTCATTTTCTAGTATTTTAAAAAGTGAAAAGATATCGTTTGTTAATTTTAAATTTTTTTATTTTAAGAGTAATTGAATTATTTCATTATTCTTAAAAGAGAAAAAATATGTATGCATATATTCTTGGTCAATTCCTTAATGATTAATGGATTCTAAGAAAAAACCTAGATACTCCCAACACTTTAAACATTTGATTTTTTTTTTTTTTTGGAAAAAGACATCATTATATTATTAAAGTGAACTACACACACGATTATGTATACATAGTTTGTTCCATTATACTATTTCAATAAACAATGTAAATAAATTTGTGTCTACAGTGTTTTTCCTTATTTGATTAGCTTTTGTCAACGTATTACAATAGATACGAGTGCATTCATTATCGTTCTATTACGAATCAGATTATTCATTTTTAAGCTTAAAAAATATGTTAGTAGTATTATTACATCCAATCAAATAATTTGATTTTAGAATATACTAACTTGGCTTATTTTCTAATTCGTGTCTCAAATTAACTAACGTAAGAGCTGATTATCATTTAATTAAATAGGCCTAATATAACTTGAATTATTGGTAAAAGCATGATATAAATTTTTTAAATAAAACTTTAAAATAACAAATGTTTTTAATATTAAGACCATATCAAATTAGATCAACCTTGGTTATCCTATTACCTGAATTATAGACTTCAATAGGTTTAATAACTTTTTATTTCTATAAATTATTTTGATTTAATTTTATGATAAAATTAAATACTTGCAAAATCGAGCATTTATAGATCATGATAACCTTATAAAAAATAAAAAATAATAAATCATAAATTTTATTTCCCAATCAATTCAAAATTAAAGAGGAGTGAAATAAAAAAATAATTATAGAAATTCAAGGATCAAAAACAAAAAAAAAATATTAAGTTTAATGGGTAAACTCTCTAAACCCATGAATCAGGTAATTCAAGTCAACATGTTAAATTCACAAACTGGGTAATGGACTTCATCGGAATTAATAACTTGTTTATTATTTTTTTTAAACTATTGTCTATTTAACTATATGATAACAAAAATAGACAATTGTAAAATCAAGTGTCAAACCAATCTAAGAGTTTTTTTTTAAAGACTATGATAGCCTTAAATAAAGAA